CCCAGTTTGACTGATGGCAAAATAGTGATTCTGCAGATGCAAGTTCGAAGAACATGATCTTGCAATTTCTGAAAATCTGCCCCATAGTAACTACTGAAGTGAACATCCATTGCAATCACATTTAACCCCTCTTATTGTTAAAATTAGTAACACGCTAGGGAGAAGAAGAAGAAGAAGAAGAGTGACACTAAGAAAAATCGACCAATCGAGATTGGAGTGGTAACGCCCGGCCCTTCTTTATGGTCCCTTCCTTCAGAAGTTGGCAAGCTTATATAGGTACTGATACTTTGCGAAAGTGTTGTGCTGAGAATGTGTTCCATGCTAGATGTCTCAATGTGATACATATTCTGCGATTTGAAAATTATTTTTTCCCAATATGCCTTTTCTATTCGACCTAGCTTTCAATTGAACCTCAAGCAACTGCAACGCATGTTTCTGTTCGACTTCCGTTTTGAACCCTTTAACTACGGCTTACCCATGCAATGTAAGCTGAGTATAGTGAGCTCGTGCCAGTTTGAAAATTCACCTCATTCTTCAGGAAAAATACGATCACGTCATGCGGGGAAAGCCAATTCGATACTCCTCTGCTTTAGTGAACGACTACGACGCTCCAATGTAGGAACCGCACCATGGCGCGCTCTTGCCTTCATAAAGAAGGGTGGTCATGAGAAATTGTAGAGTTAGAGCAATTTTGAAGGCCTACTAGGGTTTTGGAAATTGTAACATGGTTCCTCTGATACTCCATTATCTCCGGTTAGGACCATATATTGTAAATTGCCGGCGCAATTCTAATCTGCGACATCTAGTACCAGAAAAAGGGTAACACACCTGCCGAGAATGGGAATCGATCGCATACAGAACTTCACCTGATGGCACGCATACGATCCACTAATTTCCCTTCGATGGACCTCCTCGCAACCCCGTGAGGCTCATTGTCATTTTTTATCTCAGGCGCCACTGAAAAGTTATATGGGAGGCAGTGCTGTTGTGAGTTCAGAGTGCCCCTCTTTCATGCATGCTAAAGAATGCATAGACAGACTACTGCGCACTTCAGGGAACACGCAACTGGGCTCTTTGCAAGTGGAGTGTGGTCACGCCCAGCTTTTTGTGCATGTCAAGTTTCTGCCCTCACCTCCCCCTTCCTCACGAATTCCCCGATTCTCGTGACAGTATAGTAGCGGGCAGCAGTCCCACTTACATACATTTCTGTTCAAAAAATGCGGCGTGCCCACCCCACTTGTGTAGCACCCGCAACAGTACAATTTGCTTATAAAACTTCTAAGGTAATTTTATGCACCCAACCACACCTCTTGGCAATATGATTTTGATGTTAAAACTTCCATAAATTCACACCTCTATAAATGTTATGATTACTACATCAATCATTTCAGCTCTCTGAAAGAGTAAAGGTGAGTAAACGAAATTAGTAGTTGGTTCTGGTCAGCTGTGGGCACCTTTTTGATCCCTTCGTAATCCTTCTTCAATGGGTCAATAGCAGCGTAGCAGTTTATAGCCCTTGGAAAAGTATAAGCGCATAGTTCCTATCCGGAGGGTATAAGATATAAAAATCAAGTAGCAGTCAATGGGAAATTAGTGGATCGTATGGGTGCCATCAGGTGAAGTTCTGTATGCGATCGATTCCCATTCTCGGCAGGTGTGTTACCCTTTTTCTGGTACTATCTGACCATTCGCAGATTAGAATTGCGCCGGCAATTTACAATATATGGTCCTAACCGGAGATAATGGAGTATCAGAGGAACCATGTTACAATTCTCCAAAACCCTAGTAGGCCTTCAAAATTGCTCTAACTCTACAATTTCTCATGACCACCCTTCTTTATGAAGGCAAGAGCGCCCATGTGCGTTCCTACATTGGTGCGCGTATCGTTTCACTAACGCAGAGGAGTATCGAGTCCTTTCCCCCACATGACGTGATCGTATTTTTCCTGAAGAATGAGGTGAATTTTCAAACTGGCACGAGCTCGCTATACTCAGCTTACATTGCATGGGTAAGCCGTAGTTAAAGGGTTCAAACGGAAGTCGAACAGAAACATGCGTTGCAGTTGCTTGAGGTTCAATTGAAAGCTAGGTCGAATAGAAAAGGCATATTGGGAAAAAATAATTTTCAAATCGCAGAATATGTATCACATTGAGACATCTAGCATGGAACACATTCTCAGCACAACACTTTCGCAAAGTATCAGTACCTATATAAGCTGCAACTTCTGAGGGAGGAACCCAAAGAAGGGCCGTCCATCCAATCTCGTTGGTCGATTTTTCTTATGTCACTCTTCTTCTTCTTCTCCCTAGCGTGTTACTAATTTTAACAATAAGAGGGGTTAAATGTGATTGCAATGGATGTTCACTTCAGTAGTTACTATGGGGCAGATTTTCAGAAATTGCAAGATCATGTTTTTCGAACTTTCTGCAGAATCACTATTTTGCCATCAGTTCAAACTGGGCTGAGAAAGAGTGGCTAGTGCTATGACACGTATCGTCTTTCGACGTTGCCCAGGCAACTCAAGCTTTTTAATGGAGCTCCTCGTTCTCAAAATCGGGCTTAATCGTTCTGTAATGGGCCGCAAGCTAAAGTGGAAATTTCAGATATCCGGATAGGAACATACAAGAGGTAGACAAGAAGACGTTGCTAGAAAAGGAGTCAAGTAACAAAGAGAAACGGAGAGATGGGGGGGGAACGTTTTTAGATAATGTTGTAGGGTGTGCCAGTGTTCGGGAGTAAGTTTATATCCCATAAGAAGAGAAGAAAACGGTTGTTTCTTGGCCGTGACCAGGTTACACGTGATTGTGAGCAAAATCATCAGTAAATGGGAAAGTAGAGATTTAGTGTTTGGTGCAATTTGTCCCAGCAGCAACGCGCTGGAAATTATGAAGGAGACAAACTTGTGGCTTGTTTTGGAAATACTTAGAAAGGTAATGACCTTTGCAAGAGTGGGAGCAAGTTTGAAAAAACAGCTTAGCTGTATGCACTCGAGAAGGCTGAATCGTTTCTTTTTCTTAACAGCATTTTTTGCTTTAAAATGGGTCGTCCAACAGGTCTTTCAAGGTCTTCAATAGAGTGGGAGTCCATTCATACGTCGACTGATATAGACTTTGCCGCAGCCAGTTCGAAAAAGAAAATTCATCATTTTTCCTATTTCAGTTGAATTTTGCTTTCTCACTTTTATTGTCCAGGAGTAGTCATTAGTTTGATGTGATAAGTTTGAAAGAATATTCTCTGCTCAAATTCATCGCTTGCTTGCTTAGGACGGATCTGACAAGAACATTCACTCGCCGGCCGGGCCCGATCCCGAAAGACATATCGCCCGTGCCGGACAATTCCACAAAAGTTGATGGTGTGAGCCCTAGGTGAGCTGTAAATTTTGAAAGAAACTTCGATTGTTTGTGAGCTGATCTCTGTTCAGCTCTAGCATTTTTCCTACATATGTTTTCAATTCTGGGATTCATTCAGCTGTCTTAACTACACCGTGGTACCATAGCCTTATATAAGCCTTATATAATGGGCGGAGCATGTGTGTATATATGCATGTATGTATGTGTGTATAGGGCGGAAGTGGTGTAGTGGCAAGTGGCTTACCACGCGAGCGGTCCGGGGATCAAATCCTGGGTCGTGAGTCGCCCGGGCCAACCAAGCCTTCCATCCCTCCGGGGTCGGTTAATTGGTACCAGACTTGTCTGGGAGGATAAAAACACTGACTTGTACATCGGCTGGCCCCCGCAAGTCATTGTATAGGCCACATCGCATTCAAACGCCACTACGAATGTACAAATGGAAGTAGAATGCGTGCCGCATCCCAAAAGGGATTGATCAACGGCAAA